TTTTTTTTTTTGGCCCTTGTTGTGGGGAAGGGGGGGGGGGGGAGTGAGAGAAAAAGAAAAAGAGATCCTTCAGAATTCCCCACCCCCAAGGGCCAGTGGCTGAGTCTTCAGCCTTCCCCTCTTGCTCCCTCCCCCCTGTTCATCATCCCAGGCCAGAGGAAGGGGTGGAAGCCAGCCCTCTTCGGCCTGCCGGTGCCTGCTGGCTCTGCTGATGGAACTTCCCCAAATGGGAACGTCCAGCAAGCACGGCCAGGACCAGCCCTTTTTCTCTCCCTCCCCTCTCTTGGAAGAAGCCGTGTTAAAAGCAAAATGCAATAAAGCCCCATGTAAAGTACCGAAAGAATTTAGTTGCACAAAGGGGCTTGGTGCCCCCACCACCCCTGCACCCAAAAACCTTTGGGAGACTAGCCGAGATTAGCTCTGAGTGCAATTCAGAAAAAGGGGGTGGGGGCTCAGTGTTCCTCTCGGCCTCTGGGAGGAGGCGCCTCAGCCCAGCTCCTGGGCCCCAGGCGCGGGGGGGGGGAGAAGAAGACCTGGACACGGAGGGTCCTTTTCTGGTTGACTCACACACACACCCCCGGTCTCCCAGTTGGGTTCAAGCCAAGAGGTCCGAGAGGGTCCCCGGATCCATCAGAGTCCAGACAGTTGTGATCTGTAGGGCAGAATGGAGCTACCAGAAAGAAGGCAGCGCTGGCCCCTCTCGCAGGAGCCACGGAGGCCTCCAGGGGCTGACTGAGCCCCAGCCCACCTGGCAGGCCACCTCCCGCCATCAACGGTGGGGATCCCAGACAATTTGCCATTTTCTGCTTCGAGGCAGAGGACTTGGGAGACACATCCTGCAAGCCGAGGACACCCCGCCTGGTCTGGGGAAGAGCTGGAGCGGCAGGGGAGGGCAGGGGGCTGCTGCTGAGGGTCCGGGGGAGGGGAAGGCTTGGATCCTCCTGGGGAAACCGCGATTTCCATCCCAGCTATGAGGAAAGAGTAGAAACCGCCAGAGCACTAGACTCCCCCCCTCCCACGGGTGACATATCCTGACCCGCACGCCAGTCAGCGAAGATGGCAAATGGCCAAGCGGACACTGTCCACGGAGCAATGGTGGCCCCCCTCCCACCCCCTAACACCACAGCCCGCCAGCTCTCCAGTGCTTTGCTGGGCAAAAATCCCCCTCTGGGAAGGCCTGGGGGGGTCGGGGGGGGGGTTGCAAAGGCCTCCTTCTCCTTGTGGGGTGATTGCCCGCTGAGCTCAGAGGAGCTGCTTCTTTTGGGCTGCAGCCCCCGGGATCCGCGCCTCCCACCACCTGGCCGGCCACCCTTTGGTGGAGAACGAAGTGGCCTCCGAACCCCTCCCTCCTCCTCCGCTCAGCCTTCTGGGTGACCCCCTGCAGGGGCCGAGGGTTGGGGAAGGGCAGGCCTCCGCTTCCCTCCTTCCGGGTCCACAGCGAATGGCTTCCTATCTGAGGAGCGATGGGCGCCTTTTGCATGCCAGGATCAGGCCTGTGTATGAGAGGAGCCTGCTGTATGAAACTGTTCCATGACGTCCTTGCCGTGGGGTGGGGGGGCCAGGCCAGGTCTATTTTAGTCAATCTCCTCCTGTGTTTATCATTCTGAGTGCGGGTTCTCTCCCTTTTTTCCTTCTTCATCTAAAAAACATTTCTGCCCTTCCAATAATTTTTCCATTTCATGGTCTGAGCGCAGCAGCCAAGAAGCCAGATTAAAACAGAGCAGGAAATGAGCCGTGACGAACACCGCGTGGTGCCCAGGTCACGGGCCTCGGACCCGTCTGGGCTGGGCAGACCCTTTCCTCTCTGCTCCTTCGCACCCAGATCAGAGCAGGGTCTGTCTGACTGGCACGGAGCCCTTGCTCCCCCCCCCAAAAAAGGGGGGGGAAGGTGATGATCAGGATGGTCTTCTTCCTTATTTAAACCTTCTAAAACCGATCCAAAAGGTGGTTAAAGAGGCAGCTTCAGGAGTAAAAGAAGGCGAGTTCAACCGAATCTCAGATGACCATTTGTTAGCCGGAACTTGGAGTAGCTCACAGGGTCTCCTTCTGAAGGGGGGGGGGTTGTGTCTTTAGCTCCTGGGAGGAACTTCTGAGCTCCACTACAACAGGAACACCACGGAACGGTGGCCTCGGTCGGTCCTGGTTATTCCAGTGGCAGGAAGCAGCCAGCTGAGGGTCTTCCTTCCCTTCTGGGCCAGCACTTCCTTTGTGGAAGGTGGGAAGAGAGTCAAAGAGGGGGGGGACCATCTTGGGAAGGAAGCCACGGCCCCCTTCCTCTGGGCTTTCCAGGAATGGCCCCCTCACCCTCCTCCTCTTCATTGCCACGGCTGGACAGGAACAGCAGCACCTGGAGGATAACCAGACCCCCCCCCCACCCCCACTACCCCGTTTACAGGACAGATCTGCATCTTTGTGGGGCAGGATTGGGGAATGGCTGGTTTATCCTCTGTGGCCAGAGCCGTTCAGTGAGTCCTGGAGGCCAAGCACCAAGATGTGACCCCCCTGGTCCCCCCTCCCCTCCCCTCCCCCGTCGTAACATTGCTTTAACTGTTTCCAAAGCCCACTGGAAGGGGAAAAAATAGCCACCAGGAAGCTGATCATTGCCTCCTCCCCAGGTACGTACCCAGTGGCTGGAGTTGCTCAAGGAATATCATTGACACAGGAAGCCGCTGGGCAGATGAGCCACTGCAGCCACCACCCCCACCCCCACCCCGCCCCTAGCTCAGGCAGCCCAAAACGCCAATTAGGGAACATCTGTTCCTCCCAAAGCTGTGCTTAGCTCCTGAGAGGATTACCGTCTAGCTGGCCACCGGCCAGCTGCTGCCTTCTTCCAGATGTGTCAGAGCACAGCTGGATGATGTCCTTCTCCAGACCAGCGCCCCAATCCCTGCAGATGTGCAACAGCTATCGACCTCTAGGGACAGGCCTTAGCTGCTGTCCAGCAATCTCTTGAGCCCCTGACCACAGCCATGGACAGGACATCATCAAGCAACAATAATTCCATTTTTCATGGTAGGGCAGAGCTAAGTGAAGTGACAGTTCTGGGAGAGAACCCCTAGAACTAGCCGGCCTGGAAAGACAGCCTGGTGGCTATGATCTGTGTGAGGTGTGGCTCAGAAAAGCAGCTTTTCCTGGGCCTCCCCTTCTCTCCCTCTCTCTGCAGTGTGTATGTTTTCAAGAACAGACTCAGTCCTGTAGGTGAGAAACACCCCCCCCCCCAATGCAGTGTGTATGTTTTCAAGGAACAGACTCAGTCCTGTAGGTGGGAAACACCCCCCCCCCATGTCAGCGCCAGGAGGGACAATTTGTCTTGGGCACTGTTTTCCAAAAAGGAAAGGCATTTGGCATTTTTGAGAATGGCTAAACCAGCGAATCTCCAGCTCCCCGTCTCTTAAAGGCCTGCCCATCATCACATGATCAGAGAGGAATAATCCTTCCAAGAGGTGATGGGATTACAGGGCATTATGTGGGCGTCTGGCCAAAGGCGTTGACCCTCTTTGCCAAGGCACGATGGGGCACAAGACACCAAGTGGAAGCAGCAGCGGTGGCGGCAGGAGAAGCGGAAGGGGGAAACTGAGACTGAGATGGCCAGGAGACGGGGAAACGGACCCCCCCCCATGCTCTTAGACCCGGGTTTGTGCAAGAACTAACAGTGTTCTGGCCCTTCGGTCACCGAGGCTGTTGCCTGCTCGGTGAAGTGGGAGGCTAAGGGCAGGTGTGGACGGCCTCTGGGAGGCGTGGCTGAATCCCTGGCTTTGGACCTTTGGGGCAGAAGTGTAGAAAAACTCTGTCCTGCCTGGCCCTCGATAGAACTCAGGCAGAAGGCGGGACAGGTCAAGGCTTCCCCGGCAGGGCACCCTGGCCTTATTGCACTTTAAACTATAACATCACGAACGGCAGCACACTCGGCCACACTCATGTACCAAAGTTGTCCTTGTTACTCCTAAAATGTGGCTTGGGATGCTATTTGCCTATTTTAAAAAATAAATTTAAAAGTTACATGCTGTCAACGCATCCCTAACGTGGTGCTCTTCATTCAGCAAGCAAGGAGTAACATGACCAAGTCCTTCTGAAAAGGCCTCCGACGTGAAAACCAAGAGTGTGTGTGTGTGTGTGTGCGCGTGTGTGTGTGCGTGTGTGCGTGTGCGTGTGTAAAAGTGAGTGATCTGTGGGTTCTAGTACGGAACGCAGTGGATCCCTCGGTCCCTCTCCTCACCTCTGTGGCCTTGCCTCAGAACGGATCCTGGGGACGGCTTGCCCAAGGTGCGAAGCAGCCTCTTCTAGAAGGCCCTCAAACGCTGTCGTGTAAGAGAGACCACCGTGGGTTTGGAAGGCCCCTCCGCCTTCCTTGCCAGGAGGGAGCCTCCAGGCTCTCTTCTCTGTCCCCCCCCATTCCTTCCCCCCCGCGCCCCCCCCCCGGCCCTCTCCCTTTGCGTGCAGGCCTGGGTGAAGCCCTCCGTGGGGGCTTGACCCGCTCTGACGTGTTCCACTCCGCTCACCTGGGATTAGCTCAATTGGATCACTGGAGGAGGGGCCTTCAAGATCCTGGCTTTGATCCTGCGCCAGAACCCGCTCTAGAGGGCTTTGTTTATCCCGCCCCTCCTTCCTTTTTTTAGTGGGACGTTGGGTGGAAAAGAGATTTGCCTTCTAATTATAGGGGCTGAGTGGTATTATGGGCTGGGCCAGGCTAGAGACACTGGTGCCTCTCCTTCTTTTTTCATGTGTTCTAAAGAGCGACATTCTCTCTTAACCTTTGGCTCCTTCAAAAGAGAAGGATGATGAGGCCGAGGGGGAGCCTCAAAAGTGAGGCCATTAAAGTGGTTTGACACCACTCACTGAAGGCGTGTCCCTGGGAGGAAGCCAGGGACTGGTCATTTGGGGGGGGAGGCCTCCACCTCCCACATTGTAGATCGGGGTGGGGTGGGGGCAGGAGAGCTCCTTTCTGGCACCTGAGTGAGATCCCACCCCCAGGCTTCCCGAGGCAGCGGCCAGAGCCGAGGGAAGGGTCGTCCGAGGAGGCTCAGGATGTGGCACGTGGCTGCTGCAGAGCCACAGGTGTGTCTCGCACCTGTTCGGGAGTCACCTTTCCGCTGCCTGGTGGGGCTCAAGTGGGCATAACCCTCTCTCCCTGGTCTTTTTTTCCCCCCCAAGGCCCAATACAGCTCCTTAAATTGTCCGGGGATTGCATTTTGGGGACATCTTGTGAACGTGTTGGGAATCCACATGCTGCGAATTCAGTGTCTTCCCACTGAGGTGAGGAGACCCGACGTACTTCTCTTGAGGGCGCATCTTCCCCCCCAAAGTCTCTTGAGAGCTTCCAGAGGAAGAAATTCTATCCCCTTTCAGTACCAGTTCAAAAATGATTTCTTTTAAAGTAACACAAAAATAAACAATTGCTTACCTCTCAAATGCATGGCGCTGTTAACGTTTTAACTTTCTCTTCATTTCAATTTTTACCTAACACACTTTGAAATCCAGTTTAAGATGAAAGCGTAGCATGCAAAAACAATTCACTGGACGCTGAAGCAGTCAATCGTATTGGAAAGCAGATGCGCAAGAGGGTGCCTCGCATTTGTACCCCAACTTGCACGGGACGTTCAGCCATCTTTGTTCGAGGGCTCACGGAACGGGCCTGGAAGATAATCAGTGCTTGGCCGATTAAAACCACAGAAAGACCGTCGAGGAGCACTCCAGTTTTGAACAAGGTCACGTCCTGGATGCTTATATTTTGAGATTATTTCTGCTCTCCTCATAATGAATGTAAGCAGGGCCTACAGTAATATTCTGTGCAGCACTTAAGCAGAACCTTTGCATGTAATAAATATTAAATTGTGCTAATTGTGAGCAGTTCTTGAAAGAAGGGAAGAGAGGAAAGAACTGCTCCGGAGTCCTAGAAGGGATGGCACCAGGCCCGCTTGCTGCCAGGGGTGCATGCCAAGCCCCCTGGCCGTTTGGGGACCGCCCGCCCTTCTTTCTTTGTGAGCGAAGTCCTCCTTTTGCCAAGGAAATAAAAGAACAGGTGGAAAACGAATGAAGGCCCACCTGGCCCCTTCAGGGCGGATGCCACCCCCACCCCCACAATTCTTGGCCCGCTTTGCTGTCAGAAACAAAATCGGGTTTTAAGACGAGGCCTGCCACGAAGGAGGGATTTCTTAAAGCGGAAACACACAGAACCCCCCACCGAACACCCAGTTTCCCCACAATGATCCGACCATTATTCCTGTTTATTGCCAAGCGGTTGGCAAGGCCGGGGCTACCGTGAGGCTTAATTTGAACCAGAGCCCCCACGTTGTGAACGAAGCCAAGCCACCGGGCCTTCCCAGCCGGGGCTGACCAAGA